TAAATTGTTCTTCTCCGCTTCCATCGTTTTGCAAATAGCAAATACAAAATACAGCCAACCGGAGTTTCCAAAGTTATTTTTTGAAATTCTAATTTGATCCGATACGTAAATCTTATTCACACTGAGAGTTGTTAACTTTTTTTCTCAAATTTAAAATTAGCTTAACTTTACTAACTATAGAGAAAAGAAAAACTTACATAGTGACCATCAGATGGTATGTTTGATGATATAAACCATTATGTTAACCCTTTTAGGACGGGAGGCGAATATATCCGCCTTATTATTTATGTGATGGTCATCGAATCTTAGTGCCACTAGTCTTTAACAAAGAATCAATCTTATCTAATCTAGCTTATATACTTATAAAGAAGTAATAATTTTATTAATATATATATATTCGTGTAAGTATTGAAAGATTTGGATGAATAACCTTTTTTTTTGCTACGAAACGTCTTTTTTTTTCTCCTTTATTCCTCCATGCTAGTAGAAGTATCTCGTAAATTGAGAAATTTGGATGCTTAATGAAGTACACTGAATGGATTCTTATTAATAACTTTTCTTTACTCCTCTCTCTCTCTCTCTCTTCACTTCACTTCATTTGTTCGTATGTGTTCTCAAGCCACTCTCGAAAGGACTTCTTTTTTTCTCTCTCTTTCTCTCCTCCCAATAAACAAATTGAAAAGCCTTTTGATGTAGAGCCCGAAACTTTCCTCGAGCCGCGATAAATACCAAAGAGAGTGCGAGAAGAAAGCTTGCAAAAAAAAAAAATATGTATACGAGAGATGTGTATTTGCCGACGAAGCTTAATTCATGGGATTTCCTCCGTACATTTGAGCGCGGCACAAATCAACGTTTACGTAATGATATCCGAAGGCATGTATATATTTAAACGATTCGATTGAGGCACGTTCACAGTCCTCGCTCGCGTGTGTGTGCACTTCGGTAGAAATGATGATGACTAATTTCCATCATTCAAGTTTCATTTATTTATTTTCTTTCTCCGAAACAAATCAATTTCTTCAGATTAAACGTAAACGCATCGATTACACAACAATCCAATTACGACCTACTTTAGCTACTGTTCTCATATTCTAACACAATTTAGTATACACTTTTTCTTAATGAATTTCACAAATTTCTCACTTTGACACAAGATGACAGCTGTCAAATTTCTCACTTTGACACAAGATTATACAGCTGTCAAATTTCTCACTTTGACACAAGATTACAGCTGTCAAATTTCTCACTTTGACACAAGATTACAGCTGTTATATTTCTCACTTTGACACTAGATTACAGCTGTCAAATTTCTCACTTTGACACAATATTACAGCTGTCAAATTTCTCACTTTGACACAATATTATACAGCTGTCAAATTTTTCACTTTGACACAAGATTACAGCTGTCAAATTTCTCACTTTGACACAATATTAAAGCTGTCAAATTTCTCACTTTGACACAATATTACAGCTGTCATTTGTGAAATAAATATATATATAAAAAAAAGTTATTTCATTTTCGCGAGGTCATGAGTTAAATTATTACACATCCGGCAAAACTTTCCACATTATTTACGTTCCACTCTTTTCCTCTTCCTCCCCACAAACAAACACACACACTAAGGGGTGTTTCTTTCATTTCGCTTCATCCTGTTTCTGGTTACGAACAGGAAATAATTTTCGAGCGTTTCTCTTGAAGCGGGTTCGAAATTTAATATCCGAATTCCATAAAATCCGTGTCACGTAGTAACGCGCGCGCTTGTACAGCGGCAATGATCGAAACTAAATAATTTTCAAACAATAATTATATTCCACCTTCTTCCTTTCCTTCCCCAACCCAGCATATAGTTTAGGGATCGGCTGGTGAATATTCATACAGCTTAAAGAGGCCCCAAAATTCATGAGAGGGCCCCCCCCAAGACATGCAAATAATCCTTTATCTCTGAAGGACGACGTTTCGATGAAAGTCCACAATCTTGAAATTAAAGTGGAAAAGAAAAAAAAAACTCTTTCATTACCGAAAACGTGAGACAAAGATGCGAAGAGAAAAAAAAACACGCAGAGACAAAAGCGAATGCGAGTATTTACACACGCCGGCGGTAAATTGGAAACCGTACACTGGAGAGTCTAATTACAAGCATTTCCATTCACGATCGGTCTTAAATACATTTCCAAATGCCATTCATTCCCTTTCCCGCCGACGAATTGCGACGACAATCGTTCAAGCCGAAATTACTTGGTTCAAATTGGACAGACTTTTGTCTAACTATCAAACTGTATTTGCAGACCTTATTGAAATAATTCTCTATATTAACTCAATTCAAACGATTATTACTTATATATATATATTAAACTAACAAATGCATTATTATATTAAATTTAACTATAAATTTAACAACTAAAGTACTACATATGAGTCAAAATGACCAATTATTAAATATTAATAAAAATAGAACAAATTATTAATTTTTACAACGAACACAGATTCAATTCCTATTATTTCATGAATTTCACATCATTTAAAACTGATTTGAATGCTCCAAACAGTCTGAGCAAATTTTCTCTGTTTTGGTACAAAGGAAACCAAAGTCATTCCACTTCTAATTCATATATTGATAATATTTCAAGGACGTATTTATACTTCAACTCGAAATACACTATACAGTGGAACCTCGCTTAACGATCAAAATAAATTGTAAGAAAAATTACTCGCTTAACGATTGACGATGAGAAGAGAAGTCCTGGATTGCGCGCCTACTACATCATTTTTAAAACTTGTGTACACATATTATGTGTATTTTTGAATATTTTTTACTATACGAGTAAAAATCTGGAAATTTTGGAACTGTACAATAAAATAAGTATCTACTGAAATCGTGGCGAGTTTTTTTGCTCCACAATAAAATTACAATAGAATGTGAATGAAAACCAATATCGGGTGGGTCACTCTGTAGTACTTATGGGTTAAAATAAAATGAAGATTTTCTTGTAGGAATTTCATAAATTCAAGTAAAAAAATCGAATAAATTTGTTGTTAAACCACAAAATTGTATTCAAACAAGATTTGATAAATATTGAACGTAAATTGTGTTTCATTTATAATGTAACTATTTGCTGTTAACAAATACGTGAAATTTACATTTATCCCATCAAAATAATTGCAAATAAAGTAAAAAAAATAAATAAATAATATTCATAGTATCACTATTAATAAATACGTAAAATATGCGAATTTCAGAAATTGCAAATCACCGAAACGAAACATGCAAATATTGAAAGCAAAAACAAAGAAAAAAAAACAACAAATATACAAATTCACGCTGCGCATAGAGAAATCGACTCGGGTAATTTGATTTCGGTGGAAATGAATAAAATGCGTTTTAATTAATATTTCCCGCGGCGCGTTTTCGCGGATGGATTAATTGCGATGCAATATATCCGTTTAATTGCGGCACATTTACACGTTCCCTATATTTCCTTTTTTTTTATTATTTTTGAAAATTCTGTTCGTTATTTGTATTCTTTTTTTTCCTCTCTCGCTCACTCACACGTTTTGTTCGTCAGTTTTATTCTGTCCGTTTTATTCCCAGCCAAAAAAAAACTCGCGATTCGCGTAAACGCACGTCTGCACGTCCCGACTGTTTGCAGTTTCCTACAAAATTCATGTCATATTGAAGCTCCAAAACTGTTTTTTCAGTTCTTTTTGTTCGCTCGTTCCATTTTTTTGGAAACTAGTCACGTGTGTCTGCATCCTAATTGCGGTGATTAAATGAAAAATACAACATTTTTCGATTCCAAATTTATAATTTTATAAATAGTTATTTATGTAATAATATTGAATTGAAATTGTACTTTAATTTTAATTAATCCTTGTAATTTCTTTCACGATTTGCATACACAAAAAAAACATCCCTGTAACTATTTTTCAATCCACAGAACGTGTACTAATACAACAAATTTATAAGAAATCAATTTTAAAATTGAATTAATTGTTTAATTTCTAAACAAGCGTTGAAGCTAATTCATTATTAAAGTACAACATTTTATCACTACAAATAATTAAATTTTCTAAATAGAATTATATGTATGTTTTGTAATAAACTTCTACAATTGTTTTGAATAATAATTATAGAATTTAATGTTTAGCTTTAGTAATAATTATTTTCATTCGAATCGTTAAATATGTTCTGTAATAGTGAAAATTTGTCAGATTATTTTATATTTAGTCATGTAAAAAGAAGCTTAATTTAGAAGCTAGTTTTTTTTTATGATTAAACAAGTGCTTTTATAAAGAATTGAATAAAACAAATTTGTTTTTCTTTTTAACAATTTGGGCTAGAAAGGGTTAATAAAATATAAAATTATTTGTTATACATCTAGTATGCAAATGCGGTTCTTCGTTGAGTCAACTGCTGCTCCCATTAAAATTGAATTTTATTATTAAAATTTTGAAATGTTTATTTTCTTTTTCACAATAATTCTTATATAAGAACTCATATATGAGACTTGTGAAAATATACAATTACATTTATTAAAAAAATTTAAATTTCTGTATTCATGTTTGGCTTTTTATTGGCTCTTTGGGGTCATGTGTTCCCACCACTAGTATAATGATTAAATTTGTTGGTTTTTGTTGTGTTTATTATTTACATATGTAGAAGATGGATCAGAAACAAGCGAGAATGGATTGGGTTGCCTATGGCAACCCAATAACAAAACAGGTAAACAATTGTTCGAACAAAAAATTGCATTGCGAAATAGAAGAAAAGCTTGTCCTTTGTTCGGGATGCAACATTCCTGACAGTAATTAAGCGTAACTAGACGGATTATTTAGTTGTTACAATGTACCAGAGTGTGCTCGAAGGGGGAAAAAAACAAAACGGCCTGATTGATTGATCAATTCGTCAATGAATTTGGAGAGAAAGTCCGCTAAAGACCCCGTATAAAAGATCGACGTCGGAGCTGCAGAGTCATCAGTCTTCGGTGCGACAGCAACAACAATGAATAACAATATCCTTCTTCTGGTGTGCGTCTTGACGACGGCGACGGCGATGAGCGCCGGTCGAATGTACACGAGCATATCCGGTTTTCCGCATCCGGTCAGCTACATGCACATCGACGGTGCGTACCCGAAACTGAACGTGATCCATCACCAGCAGGGATCATCGCCGCAGGTCGTCGTCGACGACGAAGAGACAAAAACGGAAGAGGCGAAAGAGCAGGTGGAGGAAGGCGGAAAGAAGTACGAGAACGAGGATCGATCGGCTTCAGGTGAAAAGGGCTCAGAGGGATACGAGAAGGCCGACGGTTACGAGAAGGGTTCCAAGGGGGAGTACGAGAAGCAGGCGGACGAGGGTCACTACGACGAGTCCGGTGGAAAGAAGGCTTCCAACCACGAGGAGGCCGGTGATTTCGAGGAGAACCACGAGGAGGGTGAAAGTTCGAAGGGCGGAAGCAACTCGGAAGCCGCTCACCACAAGAAGGGATCGAAGACGACCGGTTTCCACAAGGTCTATCACAAGGACGAGTACAAGAAGGATCACACCTTCTACGATGAATCCGATGCCAGTGGACACTACGACAAGTACGGAAAGGGACATTCTGAACATTCGTCGAAGGAGGGAAAGCATCGCGAGGGTGGAAGCTCCAAGTCCGGCGGTGAGGAGAGCGATTTCGGCAAGAAGGCGTCTTACGACAAGGGACATCACAACAGCAAGGATGCCGGACATAAAGCTGAAGATGGCAACGAAGAGTACCACAAGGAGCACGAGGATTACGACAAGAAGGGCGGCGAGGAGAGCGGAAAATCCTACGGCTACGAAAAGTCTGATTCATCTTAGGACTCACTCATTGTTCATACATTTCTTTGTTACCCAATAAACATATTCAGTTGATATTATCAATTTCGCCTCATTTACACGACCCCTAATTTACTTATAGTTATAATGGGTCTATATCGAAATCCCGACAATCAAATTTCCAAAATAATAAAAATCCCGACAACCATAATCCCAACAGTGTTCAAATTCCGACACTGGAAATTCCGACAGTATCAAAATCCTAAAGATTTTAGCGGATTTTTGCAATTCTTTCTCTCTAATGCGCATTCAATTGTTTCTCTGTCTTTTTTCTGACGGCATTATTTCACAAATATTTATTTATATCACTCTAAACCAGCGGTCGGGGAACTTTTTTAACCATTACCCGAAAATATTATTGCGTAAATCGATATTACCCCCCATTCTGAATAGAAAACAATCAATGTAAATTTTAAATAAACATTATTTATTGAATTAATTTGCATTTACATATTTATAAAAAAAAAAGTTAGGTGTCCAGTATATTCACATCGTATTTTACATAANAGACAAACAAAATATTTTTTTTAAATTGGAACAAACAAAAATTAATTGAAAACTTTCCTCCTTCAGGTTTTGGAAAAATGATGTTGCTTCATGTTTGATATAAAAATAGAATCTTAAATTGGAACAAACAAAAATTAATTGAAAACTTCCCTTCAGGTTTTGGAAAAATGATGTTGCTTCATGTTTGATATAATTACTTTAAAATTGGGACTTTTTGATGTAAGAGCAATTTGAATACAGTCTTCGGCGTTTAATCGATTTCTGTTTTTCGTTTT